AATGAAGAGCTAATTGTGGTGTCTGTGTTGAAAAAGAGTGTTTTGTAGCTGAGAATTTGCTCTATCAAATATCTGCTGTAGTTTCCCTGGAAATAAATAAGAGGCATTACTTTCAGGATGACTTGTGTTTGTTTATATATATATTTATGTATATATATAAACACATACAAATCTTGTTGCTTTTGATTGTTTTGGTTTGGCTTATGTATGATTATTATTTTACTTATCTGATTATTACCAGTATTTCAAAATTACTTAAGCTTGTTTTCTGATTACAGATGAAATTGCTATCTTAACTGGAAGACCAGACAATGAATGCAATAAATATATTCCTGTGGCCCTATCTTTTATTGAACTACTGAGTTGAGATTAAAAAATGATGGGAATTCTTACTGACAGTTTCAAGAAAGTTAATAATTTCAAGCCTTTTCCCTGATCTATCTTGCAGAATCTTAACATCAATATGATAAAGACTGGTACACGATTAATCCCCCTTTTTATGATATATACATTTCTTTTAACCTATGGGGATATTTTAAATTCTGGAATGTTTTATGTAGGGATGGAAATATATTTCTCTCATATCAATGAACATAGTTGGTAGCCATAACAAGTCTAGATGAATTTGTCCTATATCTATACTGTCTTTTCCTTGTCTGAATAAAACAAAGCCTTGTATATTATTAACATAGGATTTAGCAGGAGGATAGAAGTATTTTGAATCCTGCTTTATGTAGTAATCTCAAAAAAGTTTTGGTTTCAAATACTGCAGCATGGCATCCAACTCGAAAATTGTGCTATTTTGTTCCTATGGAGATTGCAAATCATTTCATCCATTTCATGAGGTTTTCTCTATCAGCACTTCTGGTAATTTGTGTCATACTCTCGCTGCATTGCTAGTTGATATCATTGGACTCTTGTCATAAAACGAAATGAAACAAAACAACAGAAACACAAAAATGAACTATTATCTTGGATGTAATAAATCTCCTTGCTTTCCTGTCAAATGCTTCACTGACATGTTTATTTTAATCTGTATGTGTATTCTAGAATATGGTTGCTTTTTCCAATATCCAGAATTGTGAGACACAATTTATGACTAATTTCTTGATTTGAAAAGGCTCGGGATCATCACTCTCCATATGTACGTTGCTTTTGTTAGACCTGTTTTCTGAATTTAAAAGTTGTGATGCAAGTAGCCTTGAGATGAGGAATTTGGCTATGGATGACAAATGGGAATGGAAGTAATTGGTGGGAAGCATGACAGAGAAGTTATTTCCATGTCTTGCAAACTCGGTATGGCACTTTACTCCACCTGTTCCCTTCTGGGAAGAGCATCTTTGAAATGGAACGAGTTAGGCTGTTGTACACTGATAAAGACTCGTATTAGCAGGAGAAAGAAACAAGATATTTGCAAACCATATTGCAGGTCAACATGACTTATGCTGGACCTGTGTGTCTTCAATTGAACTGGCCAAAAGGTAGAGTGGTTCTGTGCATGACCAGCAGCCGTTAGTGTAAAAAGCTGAAGTCTCCTGCCTGAGTCAGAAGAGATGGCAAGTGGGTATTTGTGTGTACAAATCCACATTTTCGTCTGTTTTCCCTTATCACTGTGACTGTGTTATCTATGTCCTTGTAGTCCAGTGACAGACTATGTTTGTATGAAAGCCACAAAGAGGAACCTTAAGGAATTAGTCTTTTTTTTTTTTTTTTTAAGTCTCATGCTTAATCATAGGGAGGAAAAAAGAAAAAGTTGTCATCATTAAATTAATCTTTACAGAACTGGAGATAAATTTATATAGTGTGTGACTTTGAAGAAAAAATTGTAAAAAGCATTTCCTTAGCAAATGGGAAGAAAGGGACATTTAAAAACAACTGTGTGGATTTTTACACTTTTTTGTTATAAAAATGTGGCTCATATTTGTATTGAATGAATAGAATAATTTACTACGCTTTTTATTATTATCCATAACGTTTAATATTCATGTATTAAACAAAAGTGAAGAAGCTGGAACTAAACAGTAGGAGTTATCACTTTGAATTTTACCATGCAAAATTAATAAATAATCAGTGTCTACTAATATGAGATTGGGTTTAAATTAAGTTGGCGTGGGGTTTACTTATAGTTCCTGATATTTGAATTCAGTAAGGGAAATCCTGAATTTACTGTTATTTATATTATAATTATTTATAATTAATATCATTATTAAAAATGAAGTGCCCACCATTTAAAGATAGTGATACTAATAATACTAACCTTGATTGCTGGAGAGCTGCCAGCTTGTCATCATTCTGCAGAAATATATTGTATTTAAACAGAGAAAACATGCTGTTGTCCCTCCCTCTCATTCCCACAAACTGGAACAGTATTATGTTAGCATGAGTTGTGCTGAGCCGGATCCAATCTGGAATTAAGAATGCTCCAGGGCATTTTTAATAATCTGTCACTCATTTGAACTTTAACCTTCTTTAATTCACAGAATCTGGTAATGCAGATGTATACTTCAGCAGCATACATTTCTTTTTCTTTCTTTATCTTATTGTGAAACTGATGTTGGTGTGTGAGGACAGGACTTGGAAATGTGATGTGGTACAAGTAGAAAGCGTTCATTTAAAATAGATTCAAAATTTAAAAAGAATTGCAATAGTTTGGTTTCCTGGTTTTCTGCCATTCTGAAATGTAAAGTTAAATTCTGGTACTAATTTTATTAACATTCTTGAAGTACTGCCATCAGTTAGGCTTTCTGAAAGCCATAACAGCAGCCCTGCAGAGCTCAGTGAGCAGCAGGGCTGAGGTGTTGCAGACAGTGCCAGCTGCCATAGGCAGACCTGGGCCAGCACTGACACAGCTGACTCAGGGACAGTGCAGCACTGGGAAGCACTGAAGGGCTGCTTCTACTGATACACAGCAGTGAAATTGAGACACTTCTCTGTGTAAATAAATCTTAAAGACACCGTTGTGTTAATTTTTTTCGAGATGCTGTGTACCTGTATGCTCTTGAAAGAAACGTTTTGCTGTAGGTGTGAAAGCTAAAACTTTGCTCTAGTAGTACTGGACTTGCCTCCGTTCCATGCAGTAGGACTAGGAGATTGTAAATCAACATTTTGATTTTAATCTCAAAGGTGATATAATTACATTCTTTTAATCATTCTAACACTGGTATCAAATAAGAGAATAGTGCTTATATTAAGAATTTGGAGACAAAAACTGAAAATTTGAATATGAAAACTTCTTGGGTCAAATTTAAAAAGTGAAGGAAGAACTGGCTGGCAAATGTTGTGCTGAAAGTATAAATGAAAATATAAATTTCCAATCTGCATATGTTAATGATTTGTGGTTTGAAGAAATGTTCATATTCAGATTTTCAGTTTTATTTTCTCAAACTTAGACATCTTTTTTTTTTTCTAATAATACATAAGTATATGATTGATATACCTTAACAAAACTCTACAGTTTTGTTGTTTTTTTTTTTCTTTTTTTTTCTTTTTTTTTTTTTTCTGAAGCCTATAATTTCCTTAGATGGTTTAAAATATGGACGTCTATTTTAGTACAGTCTTGCTCCTTCTCAGACTCTGTGGCTTGGTTTGTACTCCTTGCATTTATTTACAGAAGTGTTTCTTTACTGTTTGAATTGGAGGTTGAACATCATTAATTCCAGTGCTATGGACAATTCTGATACTGCCTTAATGAAATACAACATCTTAAACCCTGGAGGGTATCATATGCATCCCAGAATTGCATTGATACTTATTATAGTGTTTATAAGGATGTAGATGCAGCTGGTATAGAAGAGGTAAGTAATTTATGTATGATAGTCAAACAGTGTGAGTCCTACTCACTGTAATTTGGTAGACACTGGGTTATTAATTTTGCTTTATTGAACTTGTCATGTGGTTGGCAAGCACAGCAATGAGTGTTTAGCTTGAACAAAAAAAGTGGTTCATAATCACTAATTGCACTCTACTAGAATTTAGATAACTGCAAACAACAATTAAACATGAACTTAGGGGGAAAAATCTTTCTTTCTCTGTAAGCAAACTGATAATATGATCACAGCTGAATTTTTTCTTCCTTCAGAGAGGAGTCATGTATAATCTTTGTTATTTAAATAACGCGATAGAATATAGCGTTGGTTTTTTTTACCTTTAAATTTTATTTTCTGGAAGCAGGAAGTTTTTCTGAATTCCTGCAAGTAATTTACCCTAAATCCAATTGACATTTACCAATGTAAATGCTAACATTTACCTTACATTTTTTTTATTCCATACTTCAGAGATTCCTGGTTGTCTTGGGAAGAGTAGCCTGGTGGGTATGACAACAATGTGAATATGAACAGTGCATGCTACTGCCCTCCTTACAACAAGAATCAGAATAATTTGGGTTACCAGGGGGACCAACGGAGGCAACGCATTCTAAAACTCTGCTCAAAGCAGGGACAACTTTAGAGCTGGATCCAATTCCCTAAGTTTGTTCAGTCCAACTCTGAAAATACCCAATGTGTGGAGAATCTACAGCTTCTCTGAACAACCTGTTCCTGTGCTAAGTGGTGTGCACTTTTTGCTGAAACGATATAGACAGTCATGAAGAGTTTTATGTTAAAATACATAACTATTATCTGAATCTAAAATTTCTTGTGATGAATTATCACCTCCCTGAACTACAATAATATAAATGATGCAGAAAATATTTGTAAATTGTGTCTGTATGTGACAGTGGCCCAGGTTAAATACATGGCTGGCAGTATGTGTTAGTGCTGATTTGTATAAATCTTACCTGTTACAAGATTCAGGATGCAAGATTGATACAAGATTCATAGAAACACTGCTTTTTTTTTTTTTTTTTTTTTTTTTTTTTTTTTTTTTTTAAATTATGTTCTGTTTGTTTTTCAAACAGGAATGGATATGAACAGCCACTTAGTTAAAGTAATTCCTTTTGTGTGTGAATGTATTCTTTACTTATTATGAAGAATATGGAGCTTAAAAAATTCTCTTTCTTTTAGGTAGAAGAACTGATGAATGCATTAGAAAAGACAAGACAAGAACTAGATTCTACCAAAGCCCGTCTTGCCTCGACACAGCAGTCTTTGGCTGAGAAGGAAGCACATCTGGCTAACCTAAGAATAGAGCGGAGAAAGCAACTCGAAGAAATTCTAGAAATGAAGTAAGTACATTGCTTTCTCAAATTTCTAGGAAAACTAATTTTTTTTTTTTTCTAAAAGAATGTTTTTCTCCCTGTTTAAACCTATGATCTTCTAATAGCAGGACTGAAGTATCTTTGAAAATACAAAAAAGAGAGTGTTCATTTTGCTTATTACATTACATTCATTACATTACTGAACACTTAACATGATAAGAATTTTTGAATGCTACCTTTTGATACATGCATTAAAATATCATTGCAGTGTAACTTCCATAGGAATATTTAAGGCCCTGTCTTTCATTGAGAAATGTATATTGGAGTTTTCTTAGTATCATGAAAGGAAAGGGGTTCGTCAACTTTGTGGATGGTGCAAAAATGATTGAATTGAATTAGTTAAAAAAAAAAAACAAACACAAAACAAACACCTATCAGTGTACACATTATCACAATATATAAGCATACCAAACTGACCTTTAATTAAATTTGTCTTCCTATGTGTGATAAGGGAAAATGTCTTTAATAAGGCTTTAGCATGATCCTTAAAGTTAGCATTTGCAGAAAAGAAGTGAAGTTGTTGTGGCTTAGAAAACCCAGTAAGCATATAGTTAACAGTCAACAAATAAAACTCACTGTTCTAATTCCCAAACTGTTTTGTTGGGGAGAAAAACAACAAAAACAAAAGCAAAAACATTTGAAATACATGTAGCTTTATATAGGTAGTAGTCGCTATCCTGACATTTCAAAGGAAGGTAAATCATCAGAAAAAAATATCTTACTAATGCTTTAAAAAAGACAAAGTGGCAGATGGCCACATATGCTTCCTGCAATTGTATAAAAGCAGATTTTAAGAATGGCTGCCATCTAATATAGGTATGAAAACACTAATCTTACAATGACTGCTTCCATGAAATCAAAAGAACTGCTTTTTATTTTAATGAGGTGTATATAAATTGGTAATATGTGTGATTTATAGTATTATGTGATATATTGAATATTATACACATTTGGGGGTTATTGAGTTTTTTAATGTACGTATTGGTTCACCTGTGATAACCTAGACATTCACAACAGGCATTTTTCATGCAGACATCTATTTTCTATATAGAGCTTTGATCTGTTTCTTTGAGAACAAAACAAAATATATAAAATCATATTACATGATATTAAGAGCACGAATAGTGAGAGTGAGTGACACTATCAGATGATAATGAGTGAAATTTTCACACAGTAATTTCTATTTATTGTTTCTTTGTTTTACCTCTTAGACAACATTAGAACTGAATCTAGGAAGAAGCAAAAACTGAACGTTTATTCATTTTTTGAGCTCTATGTTTGAGAAGAGCTACATAAATTCAATTAAACACAACATTGTCTAATTAAATAAGTGTGAACCTTAATTTTACTTAGGTCTACCAGATTATTTAACTTAATAAAATACACAAAACAACATAACTTAGATTGTATATGTATTAGTAAAGTCTTTATAAAATAATTCAGATATTTCATTGCAGTACTTTTTTAATTTTTGAAATTGCTGCCTGAATAATTACTCAATGAACAAACTTTATAAAACTGCTATAATACATTGTACTACATAAGGTCTTAAATTATTCTTTTGAACATGATACTCTCAAGAACAGATTGCAGATGCTAGCTAAGACCTAGAGACCCACTGACAGAATAATTACAATTTTGTTTTGTAGTAACTTAGTACAGTAGAGTTTCTTCATCTAGCTTCTCTCTGATACTTTAAGATAATTAATTAATTGGAAGAATTGACTGTAAATTCTATTTATCACTTAATTATTTGATATGGAGTGATTATGGTTTCTTGGCTGCTAGTTTCCAGTTAAATAGGCATGAACTGTGTTTTAAAAGCATTCATGATGATTTCCTATGCTTATATTATGTTCAAGTTCCAAACATAACTCTGCATTCTGTGTCCATCTGGCTGACATTGCCAAGATCCATCTTAATTTACAGACTACAATCGGTTGTCAGTTTTATGTAATTTCTCCAGTTGTCATTACATGCCCCCATATAAATTCAGTTATTTAAGGAAGTTTAGAGTAAAACTGGATAGGAGCTTAATCTTGTTCATTATCTGCCTAGTCTTTTTGAACTTGGAACTAGATAAGTACTATTTAAGGAAAAGTAGTTGGATGGAAGAAGATAAATATGAAGTTACTCTTATCTTGATGCCAGTATGTAAAAATCTGAGATTTATTCTTGTGAGTTCCTAAGTGCTAAAATTTGGAGGAGGTTTTTCATGTACTTTCACTTTCTAAATGTGAGACTTTATTTTTTTTTTTTCCAAATGTCTATACAAATATTAGTATATTAGTTCTGGAGGAAATATTTTTGTTATGGTCGTATTTTTGGGACAGTGTATAACTCATACTGACATTAGTGGAAGTTACGGATTCATGTTAACAGCAAAACACACCATGTGTTCAAATCCATCACAATGCCTAATTGTCTTAATGTTTTATGCTCTTTCTGAGCATAACAAAATCAATGAGCTTATTTCATAATTACTGAGAGTGTTTTAAAAAAGACTTCTGTATTATATAGTGTGACAAAAGCCATTTTGAAACATTTTTTAAATATGTTTCACATTCATAGAAGGTTTCAATTGGCTTGAAATTAGAAATTGACAGTTAAAAAGATATCTTTGTTTTTGTTTTCTGAAAGTTTGCAGTAAGGAGTGGAAACTACTGAGAACTTCTGGAGGATTTCTTAGAAATGCTCATTCATTTGTTTTTTTACATTAATTTGATGACCTTTCAGTGACTTAGTTACATTTAACATTCATGGCAGTTAGCAGTCCATGACTAGGACATTAATTTACAAAAAACTGAACTTCATTTTTTGACTTGAAGACTGACTAGTGAATTCTCAACCTTTGAGATCCATGTTAATTATTGTGAATTTCCTTTATTAGTCAACTCAGTACACTGAAGTTTCTAAATAAAATTCTTGGCAAGAATTTGTGAAGTGGGGTAATTTCATTGCCTTTAATGGAGTTCATGCCATCACTTGTGGGTATTACTAAACCAGTTTCGCTGGAAGTGACTTTGCCCTATAATTCACGTTGAATTTTTAGAAGAAAAAATACATGTTTTCTCTAATGTGGAATAAATCAGATTACTCCAGTAAGGAAGCATTAAAGATCTAATAAAATAACCAGCTACTAGTCCTTCAATTCAGTACCAAAAATAGATCATTGCTGTGCTGTGATTAAAAAAAAAAAAAATTAGATTTTTCAGTAGATTCTCTTAGTGACAGCGTAAAATTAAACATCCCTTCCTTTGTTTAAGAATGTTCCCCATTTTTTCACTGAAAATAATAAATGAGTATTGCTTATCTCTGTTTTTCAGTATGTTTACTTTATTCATTTAACAGCACCTGTGTATAGTCAAGCATGAAATATTTGTGGGAAGAAAGGGATAAAATGTTTTTTCCACCAAGCATTCAGTCCTACCAGCTTGCCACCCTTTGCGGGAGTGCTGTATGCGTACTTCAATTTTACCTCCTGGATTGGTTATTCAGCTGATTTGCCACAAAAGGACAGGGCAGCTGCATTTACCACTAAATGCCAGTTTTGAATGCAAGACCATGGTTGGGATCTTTTTGTTTCAACAAGTTGTGGAGGAGCAGTTTCACAGAGCAAGAAAGTGATTTGTTGCTGGAAACTGCAGGGAAGTGAACCAGTGTGAGTTTGTTGGCTACTTTGCCTGACTTGTCCTCCTCCCCCCTTTTAGTGGATTTAATCCAGGCATGGATGCATAAAAATAGCCACAGGTGGACTTTTCTGGATATTGCAGAGATGTAGAGGGACCTAGAATGAATTCTAGAAGCCAAGGACTACAGCGCAAGGAGAAGGCTTTATGATATGTAGAACTAGATGGTCACAATTTGTAGGGAATTCAAAATATTTCATGGAATATTAATGGCAGAGTATAAGGAAACTTAAAATTCATCTGGCTTTCCCCAGACATACCCCCATATTTCCATCAATAAATTTTACTCAAGTAGAAGTTGGGGATTTCGTGTCTGTATAGTAGCTTAGCAGGAGCTGCATGACTGGTGCATGTTTGGAGAACACAGACATTTTTCCAACACCTGGGTAAATCAGATCGTGTCCCTGCTTTCATTCTTCTGTTACTTTTTCCATCCATCACTATGCAGACTGGTGCTTGGGGAGGGAAAGGAACTCAACATATTTTTGCCTAGTTACATCCTACCTACTCCACCCCTAGAGTTTCTGTTACCCACAGCACAGTGGTTTCTTTCTCACCACTGTGGCTACAAGGCTACAGCTGTGGTCAAAATTTCTTCTGAAATCTCTCTGTGAGCAGCAAATCTAAATCATCTGGAATATTTCAGAGTAATTTTGTATGCAGCTCACCTGTTCAGTGAATGCATAGCCCAGAAGCATGAAACTCATTGGCTGGAAAATCCTTGGTGAAAGTCTAAGGCCTTTACTTGCATGCAGTCATTAAGTTGTTTTCCTTTTTTGGGGGGATCTTCCAAACACAGCGAGGATGAAGAAAACAATGCTGTAAAAAGGAAGAAACTGGCGAGGTGATTGAAGTTTGCAAATACGCTTTGAAATTTCTTGGAGCTCACTCTTTAAAACCACTTAAAATGTTATCTTCCCTATGGCCACTCTCTGCTTCCTGTGCTAATAGTTATGCAGTGGTTTTATTTTGTGTTGTTTTCTTTTTTCTTTCTTGAAAAAGAAAAAAAGCAAAAAAGCAAGGAATTAGATGATTCTTGCCTAGGCTAGGAATCAAGGTGTTATAAAAAAAATATATATATATAGGCAAAATATAGTTTCTACTTGTTTTATAAATGCTGTTGTATTAAAAGATTGTCCGAAAAAGAGGCAGCACCTATCTTGAACATAGTTCTCAGCTAAATAAATAGTGATGGATACAGGAAAATAAAGGATAGTCTTTGAATTGAGTATTAAGCAAATACAGCAGTCAGAATTCTTAGACTATTAATAAGGTATT